AATCTATATGAATGCAAATGTGACAGTTTACAATCTCTATATGAATGGAAATATGGCAGTTTACAATCTCTATATGAATGCAAATGTGACAGATTTACAATCTATATGAATGCAAATGTGGCAGTTTACAATCTCTATATGAATGCAAATATGGCAGTTTACAATCTCTATATGAATGCAAATGTGACAGTTTACAATATCTATATGAATGTAAACATGGCAGTTTACAATCTCTATATGAATGCAAATGTGACAGTTTACAATCTCTATATGAATGCTGATTTGGGTGTTTACAATCTCTATATGAATGCAAATGTGACAGTTTACAATCTATATGAATGCAAATGTGACAGTTTACAATCTCTGTATGAATGAAAATGTGACAGTTTACAATCTATGTGAATGTAAAAGTGGCAGTTTATAATCTCTATATGAATGCAAATGTGGCAGTTAAGAATCTCTTTATGAATGCAAATGTGGCAGTTTACAATCTCTATATGAATGCAAATGTGGCAGTTTACAATCTCTATATGAATGCAAATGTAGCAGTTTATAATCTCTGTATGAATGCAAATATGTCAGTTTACAATCTCCATACGAATGCAAATGTGGCAGTTTACAATCTCTATATGAATGCAAATGTAGCAGTTTACAATCTCTATATAAATGCAAATGTAGCATTTTACAATCTATATGAATGTAAATGTGACAGTTTACAATCTCTATACGAATGCAAATGTAGCAGTATACAATCTCCATATGAATGCAAATGTAACAGATTACAATCTCAATATGAATGTAAATGTGGCAGTTTACAATCTATATGAATGTAAATGTGGCAGTTTACACTATATATGAATGCAAATGTAGCAGTTTACAATCTCTATATGAATGCAAATGTGACAGTTTACAATCTCTATATGAATGCAAATATGGCAGTTTACAATCTCTATATGAATGCAAATGTGACAGTTTACAATCTCTATATGAATGTAAATGTGACAGTTTACAATCTCTATATGAATGCAAATGTGACAGTTTACAATCTCGATATGAATGCAAATGTGACAGTTTACAATCTCGATATGAATGTAAATGTGGCAGTTTAAAATCTCTATATGAATGCAAATGTGACAGTTTACAATCTCTATATGAATGCAAATGTGGCAGTTTACAATCTCTATATGAATGTAAATGTGGCAATTTACAATCTCTATATGAATGTAAATGTGGCAGTTTACAATCCATATATGAATGTAAATGTGACAGTTTACAATCTCTATATGAATGTAAATGTAGCAGTTTACAATCTATATGAATGTAAATGTGGCAGTTTACAATCTCTATATGAATGTAAATGTAGCAGTTTACAATCTCTATATGAATGTAAATGTGGCAGTTTACAATCTCTATATGAATGTAAATGTGGCAGTTTACAATCTCTATATGAATGTAAATGTGGCAGTTTACAATCTCTATATGAATGTAAATGTGGCAGTTTACAATCTCTATATGAATGTAAATGTGGCAGTTTACAATCTCTATATGAATGTAAATGTGGCAGTTTACAATCTCTATATGAATGTAAATGTGGCAGTTTACAATCTCTATATGAATGTAAATGTGGCAGTTTACAATCTACATGAATGTTAATGTGGCAGTTTACAATCTCTATATGAATGTAAATGTGGCAGTTTACAATCTCTATATGAATGTAAATGTGGCAGTTTACAATCTACATGAATGTTAATGTGGCAGTTTACCATCTCTATATGAATGTAAATTTAGCAGTTTACAACTTCTATATGAATGCAAATGTGGCAGTTTACAATCTCTATATGAATGC